CCCCATGCCGACTGAAATGACAACACCTGACACTTCACGTCCCGGTTTCTGCTTTATGATTTGGTCTGAGACCTTAACACACCAACCTTCCATCTAATTTACTTATTCACAACATGGCATAGAGAATATCATAATTAGATGCTCAATAAGTATTTGTTGAATGAATAAAAATTACAAAAACGGGCCTCTGAAAGATTTTTACATAAAATGACCAGCCTAGCAGCTCGGCGCCTGTGGCTCAAGTGGCTAAGGCGCCAGTCACGTACACCCAAGGTGGTGGGTTTGAATCCAGTCCAGGCCCACCAAACAACAATGACGGCTGCAACCAAAAAAAATAGCCGGGCATTGTGGCGGGCGCCTGTGGTCCCAGCTACTTGGGAGGCAGAGGCAGAAGACTCGCTTGAACCCAGGAGTTGGAGGTTGCTGTGAGCTGAGATGCCACCGCACTCTACCCAGGGGGACAGCTTGAGGCTCCTGTCTCAAAAAAAAAAAAAGACCAGCCTAGGGAACTCTTACTTCTGCAGAAATGACTGTGTAAGTGACATGGGGGAACTGGAAACTCTTATCTATAGAATGGCTGGACGTGTCAGCTTGCTGGGCAGCGGGGCTGAAAGAATGTGCCTGTGAAGGGGCAGCACATGCCCAGTGCCCCGGGGAAGAACCAGCCCCAATTTCTTCACTCTGATGTGAGGGGTAGGGAGGGGTCTGTACCTTGGGACAATCTCCTGACTTCACTTTTTCTGTTTCTCATCTATAAAATGGTGTAATTGTCATCATTGCACAGGATTTATATTTAAAAACATGAGATTTTAAATAATATTTGCTCTACTATAATTGTGAAAGACAGTGGAAGGCCTGGTGCCGGGGAACCTGAGCACATGTGAGCTACAGTTCAGCACATGTGAGCTACAGACAGCCTGATGTTCCACATTGGGGTCCTCTCTTCATCAATTTGACTCCAACTTTTAAACCAAATCTTAAGTCTGACTGTCAGTTTCCTTTGCCAGAGGCAAGATGGCGGGGTGTTTTAAGGTCCTGGAATCACAGGCCCCGAGTTTGGGGCCGAGTCTGGGGCCGTGCCCTCAGATTCTGCCACCTCCAGGCTTCTCTGTCATAGCCCCGCAACTGAACAATTTGTCCAGCACTCTTCATTAAGCCCAAACCCTATTTCCATCCCTGAGACATCTTCTGACTCACGTCATTGCCTAAAATACCTGGCAGCTGCAACCTTTGCATCCTAGCCTTGGGAATGTGTTTCAAGCCCCTCTTTCCAAAAGCCTCCCTTGACCTCTCAGATGACCCCTTTCCAGCCCCACCTCAAGAGGAGCCCCCTTAACCCCTCAAAACCAAGCATTGCTGGTCCTCCGGGGCTGAGCCGCTCAGAGAGGTAGCCTCCCCAGGGCCTGGTTCCAGTGCTGCCTGCTGGCCAGCAGCTGCCCCCAGCATCTAGCAAGTTCCTAGGCTTGTCAACTTCCTGGGAATGGCCTCTCCTGGGCCCCAAGGGAAAACTTCCAGCAAGTTCCACGAGTGCAACCCCTTCGTGGCTTTTCTGCCACCTAGGAGCCAGCACTGTGCTCCCTGCCCTGGTGGCTCTCCCCTGAGTGGGAGGCACACCTACCTGGGAGCCAGGGGCAGTGGCTGTACCTCACACCAGCACCTCCTATATTCCCTCCCTGCTTCTTACAACCCAATTGCCCATTAGAAGTCTTTACACTAGCCTCTCCCTTACTGATCATGTGTTTCTCTTCTGGCTGGATCCTAATGGGTACACACCGTTCTTGCACTGAGGGCAAGATCATCTCCTACCTTTAACTTGCGTTTAAAAATCATCTCTTATTTAAGTTTCCCCAGCGGATACCCCTTCCCAATGACTATCCATCAAACTGGTAAAATATTGCTTTGTTTTCGACATACATCAGTGTCCAGACTACTATCAAGCTGTCTGAAACTTACTAACTCTATATTATGAACAACTCACTTAAATATAAAGTCTTTAAATGTTCCCTTGCTGCAACGATGCAGTTAAGATCATGCTTTTTCAATTGCTCTGTTTTTAAAAGCCAGAGACTTACTGCTTTTATTTACCATGGGGCAGTTCATATGCACCAGAGTAATAATGTATGCATAAAAATTTAGGTACCAGCAAAATGTCTTTGGACATTTAACGAAAGGGGGGGAAAACTCACAAAATAAAAAAAAAAAAAATGCTGACAATGGAGACCAAAAAGGGAGTGCAGGTAAGAGAACTTTGGTGCGGATGAACTTTCTTAATTTAAATTAAAATTATTGAAGTCATTAAATTTTGTTATTTTAACTAGATTATAGCTCAGCTCGACTTCCCTGTCATTCATGGGCTCCTGCAATGGGTGACATAGAGTGTGTCTATCTGTGGCCACCCTTGAATTTTAAACATCAGAATTATGAGCAGCTCATTCGCATAAACCACCACTCAACTACAAGGGGCTGCAGTCGCTGTGGGGATAAGTAGGGGGGATTTTAGGTATGAGAGGGGTCAGAAGTCGAAGAATTATTAGAAGGTTGTGAAACAAGAAAGTTGTTTTTGCCAGCTGGTCTGCTAGGAGGTCTGTCTGCGGCTGTCCCCTCCCCACCCCTCCAAACACACCCTCCGCTCATCTTCCACATTGTCTGAAGTTTCACCTGTTCGATACATTCACAGGCGCTGTTTGTGCTAACATCATCCTCTGGGCACACAGCTGTTCCTCAAAGAGGGGGATGTTCCAGCTGCACAGCCTGCCGTGCCCTCCTCAGCGACCCCCTTCCTGATCTCTGCTGTCAGTTCAACCCAGTGTGTCCCCTACAGTACAGAGGAGGTAGGGTCTCGGTCTGGGAGATGTGGCAGGACCCAGGGAGAAGCCTGGGAGCGAGGCTGACTTCCCTAAGAGAACAGGTGTCCACGAGTGCCTGAGAAGGGGTCAGCTGGGGACATGGCCCATGTGCACCACCAAACCCGGGAGCACAGCCACACAGAAACCAGAAACTGCAGACACTGGCCGTAAAGGGTCCCTCACAAACACTTTTATCAGCTCTCCTGATCTGGAGTGAGAGCACTCCACTTTTAAAAAAAAGTACTATTTTTAATTTTGATGCCCGTTTTGCCTTATTCCAAGAAAGATTTGAGGCAGCTCACAAAAATATATTTGGCACAAAAGGAGGTTTTCTTTAAAAAAAAAAAAAAAAAAAAAAAAAACAAGCAAGAAAGAAAGGAAAGGAAATTGTGGCAGAAATAAGCAAGGGGGCTCGCCGCCTGTGGCTCAAGCGGCTAAGGCGCCAGCCACATACACCTAAGGTGGCGGGTTCAAATCCCCAGCCTGGGCCCGCCAAACAACAATGATGATGGCTGCAACCAAAAAATGGCCGGGCGTTGTGGCAGGCGCCTGTAGTCTCAGCTACTTGGGAGGCTGAGGTGGAGACTCGCTTGAGCCCAGGAGTTGGAGGTTGCTGTGAGCTGTGATGCCATAGCACTCTACCCAGGGGGATAGCTTGAGGCTCCGTCTAAAAAAAAAAAAAAAAAGAAAGAAGCAAGGGAAGAGCAAGCCAGAAGCTGGTCATGATGTGACACATTGGGAGGCCAGCTGAGTGCAGGGCCAGGAGCCCCACCAGCCACGGACCGAGGAAACCTGCAGCATGCAGAACCTTGCCTGGCGTGCTGGAAGGGTGGACTCGGGGACAACTCATGGGCAGGAATGCTGGCCTCAAACAATCCCACTCAGCGAGTCGCTCCATACCAAATGCCACTGTGCCCATCCTGAGACCCACAAGTACAAACCGAAGCCAAGTGCTCCACAGAAGCCAGCCAGGTCCTGGTCCCACGGCCTGGGAGCACTTTCTCCTGTAGAAGCTGGTGCAGAGGGCTTCTGTCACGGAGGAAGGAACCCCAGGGGCATTCTCCCTGGGAAGGCAGGAACTCATTTCTTAGGCCCCTTCACATCCTTCAGTACAGGCCAATACAGGCAGATGAGCGATCAGGGACTGGGGTGGGATTGTGAACTGAAGCCAAGGACCAGGCCCATCTCCTTCTAAACTTGCCTGGCACAGTGGCTCACGCCTGTATTCCCAGTACTCTGGGAGGACAAAGTGGGCAGATTGCCTGAGCTCAGTTGTGCAAGACCTCATTTCTACTAAAAATAGAAAAAACTAGCTGGGCGTCATGGCAGGGCCCTACAGTCTAACTATTCAGGAGGCTGAGGCAGGAGTGAACTCAAGAGTTTGAGGTTACTGTGATCTGTGATGACACCAGGGCACGCAACCCAGAGTAACAGAGTGAGAATCTGTCTCAAAAAAAAAAAAAGAGAGAGAGAGAGAAAAATAAAATCCTCCCAGCCTCTTCCTGATCTCTGAGGCCCACCCACTTTAACTCCACCTGGAGTGAGCGTCTTGCAGCCCCTCCACACACCTGGTAGGGCAGCCTTTCTCACTGAAGCAGGAGGTGCCTGGTCCCAGGCTTGTTTACAGATGAAGGGATCAGGCCCTGCTCCCCTCCCACTCCTCCCGCCTTGCCCTGTTGCAGACTTCTGAGCACTGGCTAGCGGGCGTGGAAGGCAGAATTCAGTTGCAGAAGGCCTGATGCTGAACTCCAAAATACACTGGAGGAGAAAAATGTCCCTGAGCTACACTGTGGGAACAGACCAGCATTCCTGCTCTGCCATCAGTGAATGAGCCGACACAACAGCTCAGTAAATGCCGACCATCAGCTGGTCATAAATGTTCCTTTTAAGTATACAAGAAAAAGCACCATTCTAAGAAACCCAAACGTGTGCAGTGGAAATCAAAGTCAAAAAATCTGGGTCCTACTCCCCAAAGCTGCAGGCTGACTGTGAGCTCTCGAGCAGGTCAGAGGTCCTTTCAGACCCTCACTCCTGTCTACTAGGAAAAGCAGCCTGGCCTGATGTGGGGGGAGCAGGTGCTCTGACCCCCAGAAGGTCAGCACGGGGACTAAGTAGCTGCAACGCCTGCAATGCCCTGGAGACTTGGTCACTTACAAGCTCTGAGAAGCCGCGGACAACCTGCCTCCTTTTCAGGTTGGTCTCTCCATCCAGGTTGGCGGTCTCTATATGGCACAGCCCGTCAGGGTCACTGGAGGACAGCAGCAGAATGTCTGCAGGGATGATCTCATTGCAGTGGAGGCACACAAAGTCTCCCACACGGATTTCTTTCCAGAATCGGGTCACATACTTCTTTTCATCCCTGGTAAAGAGACTTTGATTAACAAGTCTGGCAAGAGCTTCATCATGGCTGGGTCTGGGGGACAGGTGCATGGAGCTCATTAAACAATTTTTTCTACTTTCACGTCTGTTGAAAATTTTTATAATAAAAGGTTTTTTTTAAAGAATATTCATGGCTCAGCCCCTGTGGCTCAAGCGGCTAAGGCGCCAGGCACATACACCTAAGGTGGTGGGTTCAAATCCCCAGCCCAGGCCCGCCAAACAACAATGATGGCTGCAACCAAAAAAAAAAAA